GATATCTTGCCTTCATTGTAATGCAACCTGTTTTGCATTTAAACAAACACTAAACATTTCTGTAGGAGGTTGAAAAGTTTAAATTTCTATCCATTTAGGGCAGCCTAGGATGGGAGCACCAGAATAACCAAGTAATGACATTTATGCATACCCATTCATGAATAAAGAATTCCAAGTTCAAAATATTTCCTAAAACTACTGAATTAGAATTTTGATGATCAAGAGAGTGAAACGCTTGCAAATTTTCAGCTGGCCAATGACATGAAATTTAATCCAAACTTTCCAGAAATTAAAGAATAACCGGCGATATATATGGCGAAAAACTCCATTTTGTCCATGTAAATTCTTTTTGCAATGAGCTCTTGTGTAGGAGGTTGTTTTGACACTATTCCTAACATAAAACAAACTGTTTAATCAACATGATTTAGATTGACAAGCATGTAAAACGAGATGAAGTGTCAAAAAGATAATGCGGCCAAAAAAAAGAAGAAAAAAGAGAAGAAAAAAAAGCGGCAAAATCTCAAAACCAAAAATTCCTGGCTGTCTTATTTAACCACGCATTTCTCGTTAAAATTTGTTTCATTTTGCTCATCCTAGAGGAAAAAACTTACCAGTGGTGGCAAGCAATCATCAGCATGTCGCTTAAGAACGAAAACCCTCCATGTGTGGCTTGTATCGAGATTGCTGTGAGATCTTGCAGAAGGAAATACTTGCCTGATTTAAGACGACTCTGCTAGCCTCCAATTCATTGGTGGTCACCCTCATGCTACATTCAGCACAAATCTAAACATCTAATATAAAACACAAATAATTCTTCCTCAACTACCCGCTAATCATCAAAAGAACAACTTTCATTTTCTTTTAAAAAGCCGGCAAAGAAAAAAAACAATGAATGTTATTCCCTAAACGCTCTGGTTCTGGGAGCAGTGTCACTTGTGCAAACACCTCATCTGGTGTCTTTTTCTGCCTGTCAAATGGGAATAAAAACAACAGCTTACCAAAGAAAAACAATAGTCCGTTTTTTGTCAAACATAGAAAAAAGGACTGGCTAACAGAAGTACTCATTTTAGTTGGTAGTAAAGACCTGCAGCAGAACATTTTAACAAGCCCGACATAATATTTTAGAAGGTAAGCCATAGAATAGGTTTGATACTTCTATATTCATGTTTGTGATGCCGCAAGCCTCAATCCTACAAATCAGAAATTAGAGTAAAAAAATAAATAATCATGTATCCGTTAACAAAACCGGCGGGTCCGATTTCTATCTAACTTTCAGTAGGTTCAAGTAGAAATAAGAACATAGAAATTTTCCTTGAAAAGAGATGAAACCAAGGCGAATTACCTGCTCATGCAACCCTGTGGAAAGTAGTAAACCATTTCCCCAACACAGGGGACGGACACAAGAGGGCCCAGCGCATTGCCGCATAATTCAGTGTGGAAGAAGTCATTGCTACCCTAATTTTAAATCAAAAACATTTGGATATGTCAACCATAGGCGCCAAATCATGAAAATTACCTCTCAAAAAGTAATGCCAGTAGAAAAGGAAACGATTTTTTTCATACTCAAAGCTGCCTAAGCAGGCAAGGAGGGAAACTACTGGTGTTTCCTCTAGTCGAGGTAGATAAAACAACTTTCGTCAAAAAAATTTCTTCCAGAAAATAAATGCATGAAAGTAAACCAACATAGTAAAAGCACAAATGGCAGCAAACTTTCAAAGCATGAAAGCCGCCAGCTTCGTTTCCATTTTTATAAGAAGATTTCTATAACGAAACTAAAACCAAGATTCCTCATTTTAATTGAAGGCAGCATAAAAAATAGAACAAAAAGGCTAAAATGGTTATCATTTCACAAAGAAGATAAGCAATAGCCAGGCTAATGGGGGATAAATTAGAAACGGGAAAGCATGCAGTTCACCTTGGACTCTCTCGTTTAGAAGCAGGCTACTGCGCAAGTTCCTGGCTGTTGCACGAGAACCCATCTCTGTGAGAAGAAAACTTATGAAGGCACTGATTAAGAGAACAGCCGCTCCAAGATATATCCAAAAACAGGAGAAAAGAGACAGAGAGGCCCATCAAACCTTACAAGAACCAGTCTTTCAGCAAGCCGGTTAATAAATAGCACATCAATGCAATTTCTCTCTCGGCATTCCCAATGCTCTACGCCTCAGTCGAGCAACAAAGCTTCCCTTCTAATCAGTTTCTCTCTCCGGAGGGTTTCACTCCTTCCCATATTCTTATAGAGATGTTCACTCTTTGGCTGACTCGTACTGATCAGGCAGAGACAGAGAAAGGGAAGAACTGTGGAGGGGGAGAGTGAGAAGTTTGAACTATGCATATTAAGACACATCTCGTACGATGTTTCGGCTAAACCTCTAACAGCGTACTAGATAGCAGTGAGGAAAAGCAACACGCTGGCGGCCCACATGTCCATATGATTTTTTACATCAGTAAGGCACCGTCCTCTAATGTTCGTTTTATAGAAATAGTGCAATACCGAGTTTTTTTGAAAAAAGACACTCGGTTACTCGGTATACGTATTCCGCTTTTTTTTTGTCTAGAATCGAACGTAGAGGAGCGTATGTTTCATGGATAAATAAAGTTCCATGTCCAATACTCATTTCTTTATTATTTGATTAAAATCAACTACAACAGTTCCATTATTCACATAAAATAGAATGTAAAATAAAAATTGGGAAATTTACAATACATGCTACTTTTAAAATATTCTATTTAACCATATCTAATGCCTAAAACTTTAATATTACATATATATACACCCATACTATTTTAATATCAAATTATATCACTCATATATCCTTCCTACCAATCATATATTTCATTTCTACCACTAATACTTGATATAAAAAATAAACTATGGGTGGTATATATGCAATATTAAAGCTTTAGGTGTTAAATATGTAAACAGAATAATATAGAGTGGTATGTAATGTAAATCTCTCCAAAAATTTTAAGTTGTTTGCAGCCCGTTGGTCGATAATTTTTTTCTTTTCAATTTTTTATTCATGCTCGAATCCCTTAATATTACATAAAATAAAGGAGAGTTTTATATGAATGATAGGCATATAATATTAAAATTTTAGATATTAATATATAAATAGTAAAATATAAGTGGATATTTATGTTAAATCTCTCTATATTAAAATCATTAGTGATTGATTCATAGAATTTAATTTATTTAAAAATGAATGGAAGAAACTATATGATTATTTAATTGAAAAATATAAGAGAAATTAAAAAAAAAATATGGCCTAGCAAACTTTTTGGTGTGGATTCTTTTGCGAGTATTGAAGTAAAGCTTCATGGCTATTTGGTTGGGTTTGTTTTTTTTTTTGGGACGTTTGGGCATTTAAGGCAAAATCGATACACAACGCATACACAAAAGACTCGAACTCACCTCTTAGTTGTAAGCATAAGCTCTCAACCAACAGGCCAAAGTGAGAGTTGTGTGGTTGGCTGTTTTTAGGTGTAAAGTAAATTAAACACACAAATTTTGATAATTCAGTTGTTTAGTTGAAAGAGAACTAAATTCAAATAATTTCATTCAAGAATTTGAATTTCATCATTTAAGTTTTTTTTTTTTTTGAGTCAAATATAAAAAATTAGTTGATTTAATGCATTAATCAATCATTGCCAACCAATATTTCCGGCCACTGCTTCCTTGATGTGTTAAAAACTAATGAAGTACTGATTTTTTTATAATAATACAAACATAAAAAAATTAATAACCACTAGATTTATTCTAAGAAATAACCAAATATCAAAAAGTAATTTCAAATACATTAATTGTATTTTTTCACTACATTTAGAATGTATCAAAATTCTAATTACTTGTAATCAAAAGACAGCCTACTGTTAAGGTAATGGACATAACTTTTTGATTGAAAAATAACTTGTCAACTTTTTTTAGTATCTTTAGTTATGTTGGCATTACTTTTTTAGAACTATATGAATTAATATACTAAATTATATATATATATATATATATATATATAAATTATTATAGTATAATATAGACAAGCAAACTTTCAAAGCATGAAAGCCCCACCTTCGTTCCATTTTATAAGAAGATTTCTATACGAAACTAAACCAAGATTCCTCATTTTATTGAAGGCAGCATAAAACAATAGAACAAACAGGCTAAAATGGTTATCATTCTCACGAAGAAATAAGCAATAGCAGGCTAATGGGGGATATATAGAAACGGGAAAGCAATGCTGTTCACCTTGGACTCTCTCCTTAGAGCAGCTACTGCGCAAGTTCCTGGCTGTTCCACGAGAACCCATCTCTGTGAGAGAAAACTTATGAAGGCACTGATAAGAGAACCAGCGCTCCACAGATATACAAAAAGAGGAGAAAAAGAGACAGAGAGGCCAATCAAACCTTACAAGAACCAGTCTTTCAGCTAGCCGGTTAATAAATAGCAACATCAATGCCAATTCTCTCTCGGCATCTCCAATGCTCCTACCGCCTCAGTACGAGCAAAAAAAAGCTTCCCTTCTATTGAGTTTCTCTCTCCGGAGGGTTTCACTCCTTCCCATTTTTTGGTGTCCTCTTTGGCTGACTCGTACTGGTCAGGCCAGAAGACAGAGAAAGAGGAAGAAACTGTGGAGGGGGAGAGTGAGTAGTTTGAACTTCGATGCATATAAGCATGCACTCTTCGTACGATGTTCTGGCTAAACCTCTAGCAGCGTCGTAGATACAGTGAGGAAAAGCCCACGCTGGCGCCCACATGTCCAATGAACTTTTATTACATCCAGTGAAGGCACGCTCCTTTATGTTCAGTTTTAGATCAAAACAGTGCAATACCGAGTTTTTTGAAAAAACTCGGTATTGCGCTGTTTTGATTTAAAACCAAACATAGAGGAGCGTGCGTTCACTGGATGTAATAAAAGTTCATTGGACATGTGGGCGCCAGCGTGGGCTTTTCCTCACTGTATCTACGACGCTGCTAGAGGTTTAGCCAGAACATCGTACGAAGAGTGCATGCTTATATGCATCGAAGTTCAAACTACTCACTCTCCCCCTCCACAGTTTCTTCCTCTTTCTCTGTCTTCTGGCCTGACCAGTACGAGTCAGCCAAAGAGGACACCAAAAAATGGGAAGGAGTGAAACCCTCCGGAGAGAGAAACTGAATAGAAGGGAAGCTTTTTTTTGCTCGTACTGAGGCGGTAGGAGCATTGGAGATGCCGAGAGAGAATTGGCATTGATGTTGCTATTTATTAACCGGCTAGCTGAAAGACTGGTTCTTGTAAGGTTTGATTGGCCTCTCTGTCTCTTTTTCTCCTCTTTTTGTATATCTGTGGAGCGCTGGTTCTCTTATCAGTGCCTTCATAAGTTTTCTCTCACAGAGATGGGTTCTCGTGGAACAGCCAGGAACTTGCGCAGTAGCTGCTCTAAGGAGAGAGTCCAAGGTGAACAGCATTGCTTTCCCGTTTCTATATATCCCCCATTAGCCTGCTATTGCTTATTTCTTTGTGAGAATGATAACCATTTTAGCCTTTTTGTTCTATTGTTTTATGCTGCCTTCAATAAAATGAGGAATCTTGGTTTAGTTTCGTATAGAAATCTTCTTATAAAATGGAACGAAGCTGGGGCTTTCATGCTTTGAAAGTTTGCTTGTCCATTTGTGCTTACTATGCTTGGTTACTTTCATGCATTTGTTTCTTGAGAAGAAATTTTTTGGACGAAGTTGTTTTAACTACCCTCGACTTAGAGAAACACCGTTTCCCTCCTGCTGCTTAAGCAGCTTTGAGATTATGAAAAATTCGTTCCTTTTTCTTACTGGCATTACTTGTTTGAGAGGTAATTTTCATGATTTGGCGCCATGGTTGACATATCCAAATGTTTGATTTAAATCTAGGTAGCAATGATCTTCTTCACACTGAATTATGGCGGCAATGCGCTGGCCCTCTTGTGTCCGTCCCCTGTGTTGGGGAAATGGTTTACTACTTTCCACAAGGTTGCATTGAGCAGGTAATTTCTGTTTGGTTCATCTCTTTCAGAAAATTTTCTATGTTCTATCTTACTTGAACCTACTGAAAGTAGAAAGAATCGGACGCCGGTTTGTTGTCGATGCTGATTATTTATTTTTTACTCTATTTGATTTGTAGATTGAGGCTTTCGCATCACAACATGAACATAGAAGTATCCCTATCTATGGCTTACCTTCTAAAATATTATGTCGGGTTGTTAATGTTCTGCTGCAGGTCTTTATCTACCCAACTATGAGTACTTCTGTTTTATGCCGTCCTTTTTCTATGTTTGACAAAACGACTATTGTTTTTCCTGGTAAGCTGCGTTTTTTATTCCATTTGTCAGGCAGAAAAAGACACAGATGAGGTGTTTGCACAAGTGACACTGCTCCCAGAACCAGAGGTTTAGGGACAAATCATTTGATTTTTTTCTTTGCGCTTTTAAAAGAAATTGAAAGTTGTTCTTTTAATGATTAGCGGGTAGTTGAGGAAGAATTATTTGTGTTTTATATGATGTTTTGATTTGTGCTGAATGTAGCATGAGGGTGACACCAATGAAATGGAGGCTAGGCAGAGTTCGGTCTTAAATCAGCAAGTATTTTCCTTCTGCAAGATTCTCACAGCATCTGATACAAGCACACATGGAGGGTTTTCTGTTCTTAAGCGACATGCTGATGATTGCTTGCCACCACTGGTAAGTTTTTCCTCTAGGATGAGCAAAATGAACAATTTTAACGAGAAATGCGTGTTAAATAAGACAGCCAGGAATTTGGTTTTGAGATTTTGCGCTTTTTTTTCTTCTCTTTTTTCTTCTTCTTTTTTGGCTGCATTATCTTTTTGACACTTCATCTCGTTTTACATGCTTGTCAATCTAATCATGTTGATTAGACAGTTGTTTTATGTTAGGATATGTCAAAACAACCTCCTACACAAGAGCTCATTGCAAAAGATTTACATGGACAAGAATGGAGTTTTCGCCATATATATCGCGGTATATTTCTTTAATTTCTGGAAAGTTGATAAATTTCATGTCATTGGCAGCTGAAAATTTGCAATCGTTTCACTCTCTTGATCATCAAAATTCTAATTCAGTTAGGTTTTAGGAATATTTTGAACTTGAATTCTTTATTCATGAATGGGTATGCATAATGTCATTACTTGGTTATTCTGGTGCTCCCATCCTAGGCTGCCCTAAATTGGATAGAAATTTAAACTTTCAACCTCCTACAGAAATGTTTAGTGTTGGTTTAAATCAAAACATGTTGCATTTACAATGAAGGCAAGATATGCGTAGATAATATAAGGAGATAAGCTTAATTTGAGATTGTTGGGTATGAAAAGGGATGTAAGAAGCCTCATGTTTAAGGGTTAATAGAATAGATTTTATTTAGATTTTACACCAGCCATATTTTTGTGTTTGAATTAATGGAGAAAATTGATTAATAATGGCAAGCATTCAAGTTGTTGAGACTAGGTTCCTATGATACTGATATAAGTTGAATAAGAATGTCCACAAAGTTGGTAATTTTTTCTTGAACTATATTTTATCTAGTAATTGGCACAACCCTGTAGACGTGCTCACATAAAGTAACAATATGCTACCTTTTCACATATCTATATTATACTTACTCAATGGATAGGTTTGTAGTAGTTATGAAGAAAAGCTCAAGAAATAATTGGAGGTGCAACTTGGCATCAAATCTTTTGCTTGGCTTTTTATGAAACTTTAGAGAATCCAAAGTTCGGTTTGTAGAAGTAATGAATTTATACGGTATAAAGTACATGAAATTCATTACAAATATGATAAAATATACATATAGTAAAAATGATGTATTAAGATCAAGTTTCAAAACATATGTGTGCTAGACTGGGATTTTATCTATGATGCACCAATACTCCGCTTAAAGAGGGAATGCAGTGTTGGACATGTGTTGGACATGAACACGCGCTTGACATGGTGTGGACACGTGTTGGACACGGGGTTAACATGTCATATTAAAAAACGAAGTAAATTGAAACGGACATGCGTGTCCCGATATTTAATAATTAAATTTATATAAATTACAAAATCTTTATATTTTGATATGTATATTGGGTATTCACGTCCCGTATAGAGCTCTAATTTTTCATTTTCGTAGCTTGGATCCCTTGTCTTCCTTTACGGCTTCACCAGACGAGTGAGGCGAGGTCTTCATCCATCATCTTCGTCATTTCTGCGCGCATGCAGGCCAAATTGAGCATGTCTTATTCGTCTTCCCCGTTCCTTTGTATTCGATCAACGTAGGAAGGGGGGGTTTGGTTCGGTCTCTGTGGAGATCGGGACGGGGTCGATCGATTGGAGCGGAGGCTTCGACGTCGGACTGGAGTTGAGGGAGGTGGAGCTGAGCTCGGTTGAGGAGAAGAGCAGTTCGTGGAAGTAGCGGGAGAGGAGTCGTGCGAGAGAGGTCCCGATAGCTTGCATTCGGTTGGCTTTTAAAGGCGTTGGAGAGCATCGATCGAGGAGAGCGTGGAATGAGCGACTCAATTCGGCGCCGCTGCAGAGGGATGGGTCGACGATTTGAGCGGGATTTGCGGCAGATGTTGCAGAGATACGGGATGAGCGGCTACAGGTAATCATTTTGGCGATTTTTTTTATTTTGATTTGTCTGTGTCCTTTTGGCTTCACCGTGGAGGTCAACACTTGTATCCCTTGTCTTCCTTTACGGCTTGACCAGGCGAGTGAGGCGAGGTCTTCATCCATCATCTTCGTCATTTCTGCGCGCATGCAAGGCCAAACTAAGCATGTCTTATTCTTCTTCCCCATTCCTTTGTATTCGATCAACGTCCATTTGTCATTTTAACGCGCAGGCAAGACAGTCGAGCACGATTTTAAGCCATGTAAGTTTGATTGAAGTAGTTTTCTCCTCTTGTCATTTTCATTCGGTCGTTCATCTTCTCTTCATTTCCCATTGAAGTTTTCCAACTTCCAACACTTGTGCGTGCTTCATCGAAGGCATCAAAGACAAAGGAGGGAGATTGAGTGATTCTTTTTTTTTAAAAAGATATATATTTTTTCAAAATCTCTCTTTTTAACTAATGTTTTTTAAATATTCACTAGGTTGAACTTTGATTCTAACGTGTAGCATGTGAATTTAACATTTTATTTCTCTAAAAATAAAATTTCATTATAATGAGAAAGATTCTCATCAAGTGCTTAGTTATATCTAAAACTCTTGACTTACAATATGTCATATAATATAAAATCCTAGATTTACAATATGTTTTACATTCATAATTTTTTTTAGTTGTATTTAAAATCCTAGACTTAAGAGTTAAGCATTATAAAGATAGGAAGCAATAGAGGGAAGTTTTTTTTTTTGGCTTATTTTAAATGTCTTACAATATGTCATCCAATTTTTTAAGACTTTATTTCTTCCATTTTACTAGTGTTTTTAAAAACAAAATGAGCTCTAGTGCTGGTGGGATTGGATTAGGCGAAGGTTCAAAAGAACCTTATGTAGAAACTAATAAGCCCTTATGGAATCATGCTACAAAGTTAGGAAGAACTTCTAAAGAAAGAGGAATGTGTCATTCATATGTTATTATTGTGGTGTCATCTATAAAGGATCATATTACAGGATGAAAGCACATCTACTTAAGATTGGTGACCATGAAATTAAAATGTCTTAAATTTTCTACTTTGCAGTTGATAGAATTAAATAAACAAGTTGATGAAACTAAATCTAGGATCAAAATGACACTTCTTAAAGAGATATATTTGTCATCTACCCATGGTTTATCTCACACTTTCTCCTCCGTTAGAGTTGATCATGCTAGTTCATTTAGGAGTAAATGATATGAATCAAAGAAATGAAAGGAGTTGCCAGTAATTCTTTGGAGAAGGCTTTTAATATGCAGATGCAAGAGCAACTTGATGATTAAATTGCAAGTATGTTTTTTCAGTGGGACTTCCTTTCAACATTGCAAGAAATCTTTATTATAAGAATGCATTCACTTTTGCATGCAATAACAACATTGCAAGTTATGTTTCATCTGGATACAATACAATAAGATCAAAATTATCGTATATGGAATTAGCAAATATTGAGACATTACTTGAACTAATGAAAGGATTGTGAAAGGAAAAAAGTATCAGTTTGATGTGTGATGGTTGGACTGATGCTGAAAAACGATCACTCATCAATTTCATGACTGTTACAAAGAATTACCCAATATTCATCAAAGTTGTGAATTATAAAGGAGAATAAATGATAAATTTCTTATTTCAAATTTGATTAAAGATGTGATAGTCTGGATTGGGACATCAAATGTTGTGCAGGTTATTACTGATAATGCACCAGTATGTATAGCTACAGGATTATTGGTGGAACAAATATAATCTCATATCTTTTAGACTCCATGTGTTATACATATTATAAAGCTTGTTCTAAAAATATTTGTGCAACCAAAAACACAGTTTATTAAAATCATCTGTACTAAATATCATTGGATAATAGTTGTTGCAGGTGATGCTATTCTAATCATTATTTAAAATCGCTTGATATGAGGCTTGCCTTGAGGCCTGCCTCAGCTCAATTTCAGTAAAAAATGCCTCAAGGCTTGCACCTGGAGTTTTTTTTTTTATGAGGCTTACGCCTCATCGTAGATGAGACCCTCCTTGAGGGGCACATCACCTCGTTGGTATGAGGTATACGCCTCACTCTATTTATATATATATTTTTTATTTTAAAACTTACCTAACTCTTATACAAATGCCCCAAAAACAATCATGCTTTCTTGCAATCCAAAGCCACAACAACTTCCTCTCAACCACCTTCACCATAGCCACCACCGTCGTAGCCGCCACAGGGGATCACTTGAAAGGCGCACACCACCACCATCTCCTTTTAAAATTTTAGAGTATTATCTTTGTTGCAACTTGTTAATTATGAATTAGGTTGTTAGACATAAACTTATGTCCCAAAAGGCTAACCAAGAGGGGTGTAAATTGGTAATTTAAGAAATTCTTCCTCTTTAAACCGATTAAAGTTTTAGTGAAATTTTAAAATAATTGTTTAACCACAGATCAACACAAAAGCAGTAAAGTAAAAAAACAGCAGAAAATAAATAGACACAAGATTTATAGTGGTTCGGTCAAAAACGATCTACATCCACTCCCTGAAGTCTCTCACTTCTGGTATTGCACTATTACAACAAGTGTCTCTCCTTTTGCCACAACAGCAAGGCGGAGAAGCCTTCACAAAAAATCTCTTCCACCACTACCCGATGCGGCAGATAACCGTCGTCCTTTTACACCCTCCAAGTATCGGCAGAGAACCGTCGGCTGTTCACACTCTCTAAGTGTAGGCAGATAACCTTCGTCCTTTCACACTCTCTTAGTGTAGGCAGAGAACCCTTCAGCTGTTCACACTCCTCGAGTGTCGGCAGAAAACCGGATCTTCTTGAAAGATCTTCTCACGAGAAATCTAGAAGGACAAGAGGAAAGAGTGAAGTAATCATAATTCACAAACGGAGATCCTTACCTTTAAGTAACCAAGTGAACCCTTCACGCTCCAGTAGTAAAACTTCTCCTTCAAACACTCTCTCACACTCCCATCTTCAATCTCCCTTTAGTATGCTCGAAGAGCAAAAGGCAAAGATTTTAAGACAGTCAAAATTGGACCTTTTATTAAAAAGACATGAAAAATGATCCAAAAATTGCAATTTTTATTTTTTGACTGTCCACGATCGTCCCGTACGATCCAAATTTGTACGTACGAACAGTGTAAAAACTGTTACGTACGAACAATATATGAATCAGTACCAATTATCTTTATACCGGATAATCATTCTGTATGTACTAAGTTCGTTCGATAATAACAATTATTCCCAAGGTTCATTGGTACGAAAATGCAAGATGAATTTCAAATTCCAGAACAGAGAAGCTCGTCCTAGGACGAATAATAAATATCGTCTGGAAAAATAGTTCATTTTGGCCAATCCAGAGCCCAT